ATTTCATTTACATTTTGTAATAGACATGTGGCCAATAAATTGCATAACTTAATGTCAACTAAGGCAACACAGACTCGATATCTTTACTGAGCACAGACTAAACATGCGCCACATCGTGCACATTCATCCCCCTAAAGGCTGAGCCAGAAAACACCCTGTATGGTTCTGTTATTTGGGTGAACGGATCCTTTAAGGGACGTAAAACTAATTGGTCCAATGGGGGAACTATAATAAAAGGTCAGAATTTCTAAACTTTACAAAGCTCTCACACTTGACACGTCCAAATGACACGAGACCTGCCACACAGCTATCCCTACAAATTACAGGTCTAACGAGGGAATGATAATTAAGATTTAAAAATAATTAAAGGTCAACACTTCAAAGCTATAGTTGCTGTGACACCACAGAGTCTGACTGCTTCATCGTATTAGCTTCCTTTTGGTGAGAAGTGTTTATTAATTACTCCATAACTGGCTGAATATCTGCTTTTTGAGCTTTACGTTTGTACTTATTTACAGATGGCTCTTTCATCAAATCACAATGCTGCTCATCGCGGAGCAGCCAAACTTGCTGGGGGTTAAATCCTGCCATCAAGGAGATCGACTGTAAACTGTCGTCTCTGGTGTCGCCCGTTCGCAGCTTAACATTTACTGACAGCTTCTAATCTTTAGCCAATATCTGTCTGCACGTCTGTGTAACTAAGTGTTTTGGTTTCATCTGAAGCCATACCTTTTGGCTGTTTGACTAAAGAACAGCGCGGCGCCGTAGATCCCTCCCCAAACACTTGGCAACTGCGGAGGTGTCATTTCCTGAGATTGCCTCAATGTTACACAACAATGTGCTGCCTTGGGATATAATCCTCTCTATCTGTTACACAAAGGGGCTCGTCGTATAGCTGCGCCGCATACAAATTCACAGTCACACTTAGCTGATGAAGCGGGGACTCTGTGAAATCCACCACAACAGTTTTGTTGGGTTTTTTGGGAAGCTGCACATTTCATGGCTTGTTTTGTGTCTTCCCGGAAAGTGAGACGCACATACAGTAGCTACACCTCTATGAGTTATTCATCACGGCCCCCTTTTCTGCGGGAACGGCGTCGGAATCAGCACAGACATCTTTAGTTGTATTCGAGCGTCTCAGATTAGCAGATGGAGACACCCACCCCATCTCCCCCACCTACAGACGCTCCTCACACACAACCTATTTGTGATACGTGTCAGTGCAACGTGCAAACCGTGCGTCGGACACGAGTCCCAGCATGAGTGTTAACTTGAATGTGTGTTTATCTGTATGTACAGTGTGCGATATGATTAGGATCAAAGCACCTAAAATTAGGCGTTGCATAATTTATGTACACTTTGGTGGGAGTACTTTCTGCTTTTGTCTGCATGTATATGTGTGTGTGCAGTAACACACACTTGGCAGCGCAGACGACCACAGCCCACCGGTCCATCTGGGCCTCCCTACAGTGCATTTTGCAGCGAGATAATCCCCCACTGCCTCGTCCTCCACCTCCCTCAGCTTCACAGCTCTCTCTACCCCCACCTTCATACCCCTGAATCTCTGCGACAACGCCAAGAGCGCCGGTGTAGCAGCCAGCCGGGGCGGGTGGGGAGCCTGCCAAACTCCCATGTCCCTCTCTACTAATGCCCAGTCTGCCGAGGAGGCCCAGGAGTCTCTGCCACTGCTGGCTTGTCCTCGCTAATCCTCAGATCTTGAGGTGAACACCGTGCGAGTGTTGGCAGCGATGCTGGCAAAAGTCTGCAGATTACGGTGGAAAGAGGAACACCGAAGCTCTGGATAGAAACTGAGCCCTTAAGTTTGGAGACTCGAGCGCTTGGATGGTTTGAGGGGAAGGGATTCGGGTGGACGAGCAAATGCAAAGTGCATCCGGAGAGTGACGGCTAGATGACAACTGTGTCTTATAAATGAGCAAAAACAGATTGTAGGAAACGTCACACCGCCTCGATCATTTCTTATGAACACACTGAGAAAAGATTTACTCTGAACATATTTTATCTCAGTGCTGCAAGGTGTCTCAGTGGTCAGCACCGTGGCCTCACAGCTAGAAGGTCGCAGGTTCGTGTCCCGGTGAGGACACCCGGGATCTTTCTGCGTGGAGTCTCCATGTTCTCCCCCGTGTCACATGCTGAGGTTAATTGGTGATTGTAAATTGTCCGTAGGTGTGAATGTGAGTGTGCTTGGTTGTCTGTCTCTAAGTGTAGCCCTGTGATAGACTGGTTACCTGTCCAGGTGAACCTGCCTTCACCCTGAGTCAGCTGGGATAGACTCCAGCCCCCCATTAAGGTGTAGAGATGATGGATGGATGGATATTTTATCTCTTTTTCTACAGAATAAAGTCCTAAAGCATGACACGGTTATGCTCAGGCCTCTCCAAGTACTTGATAACTTTGGATAAATACTGAATAAAGTCTATGCTGACCTGAAGCACACAGACTTGTTCAGTATTTAAGCCAAAAAATAAAAAAACAACTATTTTTCTAAGTCTGACAAATTGCTGCAGTAGCCCAAACTCAGCTAATGCAGATTCCTCCCCATCACAAAGACTTCCCTCAGCTAGAAGAATATATTAACTTTATCTATCAGTTGAAATTAGTCATTTATGTTGTTGGACATAAAGGTTGGATAACGAGGTCTGAACGTGGCTCAGCTCAGGTGAAGCGCCCCTGACAGGAGGGCTGTGCTGTCGACACAAGCGTTTAAATGCCTGAGATATCCGTCTGAATTCACCAAAGCTACCACGCTTCAAAAGAACAAGCTCTATCAGAGATGTAATCTGGGACCATATCAGTCTGAAATCTTCAGAACTAGTGGATGTGAAAGAAGGAGTCTTTTCAAGCTGCTTGGTTACATCACGGAGATCCGTGTTATCGCTGCTCTGATGGGATCAGCGTCTCAGATTAGAAAGAAGCATGTTCAGATGATGACATGCCATTTTGGAAGGCCACGCTGCTAAGATCACGCCGGTGTTGCTGCCGTCGACCTCATCGTTGGACAGCTGAGCCCAGTGAGATAAGCCTCTGAGGGAACATGCTCTCAGAGTCCTAACTACATTCATGCGCTCGTTGTCTCATTAGCCGGCCCTGCCTGGGACGACAAGAGTCAAGTTAGCTTCACAATCTTTACTCTGAAAGGCTTCGCTGTTGTCTGTTGATGTAATGAATTCATGTGATTAGGTTCAAAGGACTCCGTTAACTCTGAGTCTGTGCGTCTCACACGAGGACACTCGGGTAAAGCTATCAGTGTTAATTCATGGGAGCATTACGTTTACTGCCTTCAAGCAGAAAAAAATACCCAAATAATTATCTGAAACATTACAGACAATCAATTATTTCGCCATAAGATAGTGTTTCTGGCTTTCAAAGCTTGTTCTTGGCCTCCAGCCTGGAGCAAATGATGCTGCAGTATTGTTTTTATGAGGTGGCACGGTGTCGTTTACAGGCCACTGTAGAGCTACTGGTGGGTCCTGCTGGCTTCACAGGGAACTTGGCAAAAGACTTGTTCCAGAGATTTATGTTGGTTACTAATGGAGTTTCTTTAAGATCACAGATTGCTTAACCTTGTGTTCTTCCTCACAACAAAGCACCTACTCCTGTGTGCACAGGGGAAATTACATGTTTTTTTGTAGCATCTCAAGCTTGTCACAGTAAAGCCGCCACTTAGAATTTACTGGGTTGAGCACAGGCTCACACTGGGAGCAATGCTGCAATAAACGGTAAACTATTTCCTATCTGCTCCTCTAAGTCCAACAGTTTTCTCTTACTTTACATGATCTGATTAGTTCCTGATAGATTTTGCAGAATGTTCATTTGAAATTAGGAAAGTGTGGCCTGGCAAACATCAGCCTCGCTGACATTTGTGCTGCAACTTGCAGTCAGAAACAAAGAACCATGTTGTGTGTTTTCTCCTTTCATGATGTACTGCAGGAACGCAGCGAACCAATCACGACTTAGCGTGACAAAAAACAGCACAATGCAAGAGAACTCGGTGATGCTTTGAATGCTCTGCAGCGCATTTCAGACGGATGCATATCAAAACTATTCTTAAAATGCTCAGGAATGCCAGATGAAAGGCTGCTTCCACTTTGACCCTCTTACAGTGCAGTGCCATGGACATCAGAAGCCATCTTATCGTATATTTTGGTGTTTTTCCCCCAATACCCCGCCCTGCTCAGATTGCCCTGAGGCACTCTGAGGTTTCTGTATATTTCCTGTGAACAGAACAATGTTGAAAACACTCTGGCAGAGCCAGAAAACGAGCTACCCCTCTTCCTGAATTACTGTCGCCTCTGTGCCATAGCTGTAGCGTAATTAGACTGTAATGAAATATAATGCATGGAAACCCCTGCGCTATTACACAGAAGACGGCTAATATCGTAAAACAGACAGAGGCCAGGCGGCGGCTCTCTTGCTACCGGCTGCTATTTTATGTCAAGCTGTTATAAATGGCACCTCTAACCGCTGTCTCTAACAGTCCCATCAGTGTGGAGTAATCTGTGTTCAATGTGGCTTTACTGTTACTTATCTAATCACGCTGTGGTTACAGAAATTTAGAGCTGTGACCCAAAGCATTTCTAAATCAGTTAGTTACATGACAGAATTTTTCAAACGCCGCCCTGTTCACGACCTGCCCGAAGCTCAGCGAGACTCAGAGAGGATTCATGGAACAAACGGCGGCGATGCATCATCTCAGGCTTGTGCACATAAACTGTAAACCAGCTAATGCCACTCGGCTCGCTACGAAATCATCTGCGACGAGGAAATGTGCCGCTCTGGCAAGTCGAACGCATGTCGAACGGGAAGTCACTTTGTGGTCATGTGTTGTCCAAGATTTGTTTGCCATATTGTCCTTGTTGTACCCCGGGTACCACGGGGAGGACGAGGGGAGGGTGGGCGAGCTTTCTGCTGTCGCTGCTGATCTGACTTTTCTCAAGAGTGACAAATGACAAGATTTAGGGAATTTGGTGGCCAGCTGTCACATCAGTCAGACGAGCCAGACAAGAAATGGTTATAAATGATTCATTCTTCCTGGGTGTCTGCCGGACGGATGGATGGACAGAAGAACCAAAGCGACTGAGCCATGACACCCCTCCACCACCACCACCACCACCGCCACCACCCCACCTCAGCTGCATGTGTGTGTGTGTGTGTGTGTGTGTGTGTGTGTGTGTGGGTGGACGGGTGGGTGGCAGTGCCACACATTCTGCTCATCCATCTGGTTCACTTGGGGAATGACAGTCTGACATTTGCATTGGAAAGAAAGGGGAAAATGTTACCAGGCTGCGTCTGAGTCGCTTCCTGGCCCATTCGAACCCAGCTCACATCGCACATTGTGTGTTTTTTCAAAGCTAAGCACAGCAAACATTTCACTCAGTCACATCACAACAAATAAAACTCTTTCCACTTTGATTTAGATATGAGCGAGGAGCAGTGACATACGTAGTATGGGCAGATTTCCAAGCCCGGTTCTCCCTCCAGAGGCCCACTGCATTATGCATATTTCTGCTTGATGTAAACAACAGCTAGCTGCAGAGCTTTTAATGCATTATTCAAGGTTATAGTATGAATTAACTCGGTTACAATGAAATGGTCCCTTTTAAGTCCTGCATCAGCGAAGTTACATCACTTTTGGAAAACATTAAAAGGATTAGGAGGATGACTCGTAGCACGAAAGCGATCAAATTGCTTTTGATTCAATTCACGTTTGTTGTTGAAGAGGCAACATCCTTGGAAAAGATTTCCAGCGCATTTGTGAGTCCAGCTCGGGGCATCATAAATCTCATCTTGTATTACTGTTTCATTCCTCGTCTGTTTCGCACCAGCCAGGTGGAACTTTTGTTCGTGATATGAGGATGTTTAAGTTTTTTTATTATAGCTTTTGCATACAAATGTACTTCACCTGCACAGGACGCCAGAAATAATACGTAAAGCTGTGCAGCACGCAGCCAAACGTCCTTCAAAACTACTCCTTTTACATAAGTTACCTAATCAGAGACTTAAAAACTTCACGTCTGCTGCACAATTAATCCGCTGCTACTACTGCAGAAACATACACAAACATTATTACCAAGTCCAAGGTCTTGATTTTTTGAGACAAACATCAAAAACATGAAAATTCAATCACAACATCAGATAACTGACAAGTGAGGGTCAAATTTATTAGAAGGTCTTTGCTTTATTTGTATTTTTTCTTTGAATGCGTCCCATTGAAATGACTCATTTCATCTTCTATAACCAATTTCTTGAGCTGAGCTTTTGTATTTTTTCTTCCAAGGACCCAAACCCTCCACATCTCCGAGCTGTTTATTTAACATCCAGCTGAACGCGGTGAAATTTCCCTCTCCTCCGACGGCACATTTTTCACACGAGAAGAAAATAAAACTAACAGGAAATCATGAAAGTACAGAAATCGTTATTCGCTGGTGATGGCTGATGACCACAAACGCTGCGGCCAACTTTTCTTGGCCACGACGCTTGTTGACTGTCCACAAATTGGCAGAGTTTTCCTGGTTGCTTATCTCAAAGGATATAAATGTACTTCCAACTGATCACTTTGAGGGAAATCAAGTTTTTCCAAAGTAGCTCTAGAAGACTGTGAAGACATCTTGTACAACTGCAGGTAGTTTGTTACAGTGCAGCAGAAGTTCTACGTTCTGGATCAACACCCGGCTGTTTAGCAGGCCGGTTCGTATAACGTCAGGCAGCTAAAGAGAGGCAACGTCCTCCTGCCGACGGAGCCAAATTACACTTTGGATTGTGGCCAATGTACAGCAGCGCCTCAACACTCGTACTGTAGCACTGGGCCTGCCGCGGGGTGTACATCTGTGCTGTCACGACCCACACATGCTCCAACCAGTGACTCCGTTTTGTTTCCTCATGTGCCTCAACAGGGGTGGACCTGCTGGCTTTGTACAACCACCCGCCGGTCCGAGAGGGCCAGGTGAAGTACTACACCGTCAAGGTCCCTCTGCGGGTTCAGAACTGTGACGAGGGGGTCAAAGGGGTGGAGGCCAACTGGCTGGACCACATGACCCAGCACTTCAACAACGGAGCATCGCTGGTTGACGGATACTTCCACCTGGGCAACGTGAACGGTAAGCTGGCCCGATTGGCTCTCACTGCAGAACAGAGAGGTTCATCAGGACGAAGACGTGGAACAAAACATCAATGAGCACTAAGACCCCATATGTTTGTATCTTCCACACATAGCAACGGGATGAAAAACACTTAAAATCAGGTGTTTGTGCCGTAAAAATAATACAAAAAAACCACAATAAAATTACTTTAAATATAAAAAAACAACCTTTACTTTCAGCTGTGGCTTCTTGGATTTGACGGAATAGTTTTTCTGCATTTACACTCAAAACTCACGCTGTTACAGTTATTAAATATAAAAGAAAGTTTCCCAAATTGCCTCTTTCCTTTGACTGTACTGCCAGGAAAAATGTCGACATCAGGCAAATGTTAAACTGGAGCTCTATAAAATTAACAGCCTGTGGCAGGTAGCGATGCACCTTGCCCTGCACGCCATTAATTATGCATTAGCTGGCATTCGTTTCCCTCCACAAAACAAACAGAAATTTCATATCTGAATAATGCTTGTAAATTACTCTGATAGCACTTATCCTTCTGTGTCAGGAATCCTGGAGGATGGAAACTTCACACAGGCACAGATAACTGCAAAATACATATTTGAGATGTCAACCTTAATTAAAGAGTATTTCTGACATAGTTTAGATGACTGCCAATAGCCAGAATGTGTTCACACACATATCTGAAGCTTTTCACAGTTTTTAAACCTATTTCATCCCATTTTTGACACAAACTGTACAAATGTCGTGTGTTTTATTCCCACCAAGGCAGCTCATTCAAGCTGAGTCTGCTCTGAAATGGCAGGTTTCTACTGCACAGAGGAATCTTGGGCGCCACCTGACGAGGTTTTAGTTTGCTCCACAGGAAAATCATCAGGATTAAAATGATAAGAACTGATCATTAAAAACAGTTTGGTTAACGGGGTTTCATTTACTCAGCATAAGTGGTATTTTTATTCTTCAAATGATCAGAAAGAACAGAAAAATACACAGATTTCTGTCCCATAAGGTAATAAAGACTCGCTGCCTTTACTGTATGTGGTCCAAACATGCTTACTGTCGTATGTAGTCGCCCTGCAAAGGCCCGTTCTGAGTCAGGAGAAACCCTGAAATGCTGTGAGAGTACATGACTGAACCTGCAAACAAGTTGAGCAGCTAGCAGTCTACAACCCAACCAACGTAAAGCCAGAAATCAAGTGGATATTAGACCCACATTCACCACGTGGTTAGAAACGTGAGTGACTTATGATCATGAGTCTGTCTGTGAGTCGGTTCGTTCTACTTGTCCAAGAAAAGCTTAATACAGATTTCAGTAGTTGTAGCCGTGCTATAGCTGCAGGCTTTGGTGGAGAATAATGTCAGTCTGTTATTTGGTCTGTCCAGATTTAAATATCTCGATAACTATTAGAATGATGGCTAATAAATCCTGCTGCATACTTGTGGTTCCCAGAGAATAAATTATACTGACTTTGGCGAACTCTCTGGGTTTTCACTTATCCTGTGAAATATCAATGATCTAGTACCACCGAGGGGCGGACATTTATGTACAACATCTCAGCAGTATTTTATTTTTCTCATCAAAAACAGGTCTTATTTCTGTTTCCTAGAATGACTGAATTCTGACCAGTTCCTCTTAAACCAGCCCTGAGAGGAAATAAGGAGCAAAAGAATAAATCAATCTAAGACAGATTATTCAGTTCAGTCTGAGATTAACAGGAGAACATAAGAACAGGCGGAACTGTTCTGGTGTGCTTTAATGTTTTTTCATCCTTATGGAGAGGCAGCACACACCCCAACACAGGTCAGCATCTATCACAGAGAAGCAAACAATCGTTCACACACCTGCAGCTCAGTTCAGAGTCACTATTTAACCTCCCACGTATGCTGCACAGGAAGAACATGCAAAGTCCAGCAGGTTCAAACCGTGAGGCGACACTATAACCACTTCACCACTGTGGCTCCCTGTGAAGCTATCACAATGCACAAAGGAAATTAAACTTATGTGCAACTTAAACGTATTCAGGTGTTTCCTTTAAATGTACTCCTCTGTGACGCACCATCACATTACATGCTGCATAAAAACTAACAAAACTCACGCAGTGCCTGCTGGAACAGGCGTGAACAATCAGTACAGAAACACCTTAAAACTGACCACTGCTCATCTGAGTGTGTTCGAACTCAACGGTGCACTTCCTGGAGGCCCCTGGAACAAAACTGCCAAGTTTAAAGTAGATCGGATGTACAGTCATGACTGGATAATCGACCCTTAACAATCCTAAACCTGCTGTCCGACAGGTTTTTAGGAAAAACCAACAGAACCCATAAAAACAGCCTTAACATAGCGACAGCCTTGGATTGTGACTCCGACATGACATTTAATGTCACCAATCAGGATGACGGCGTATTATCTGACTGAACAATCCCACAGATTGGCTACGTTCACACTGCAGGACTTGATGCTCAATGAGGATTTCTTTGTGACTTCCTTCACGTTTCCACTTCAATGCGACTTGTATGTGATCTGCTGTGTGAACTTCATACGAGCCAAAAGTGTCCCGCATGCGCAGAAGAGGACACGACGACGTCACACGCAGCGAGCGTGCTCAGTGTTTATGGAAGTAAACATGGATGGTAACGGTGGAGCGTATCTGCCACTCCCCCGCCGCCACCGATGGAGGAAACAGAAGTGTGAGCGCTAACTAAACTAGCATCAGCAGCCAAGTACTGCCGAATATGCTGATATTCATCATAAATTGTACCTGAACATCCAGAGAGCAGAAAGTTCTACTGGGACCAGCCCTACTAGTTATTATAGCAACTATGAACAATAATGAACAACTAATGAGCCTTCCAGCATCAAGCCCTCCTCGTATCTGGACCTCCGTCTGGACAATCCGACAGCCTTGCTATCCGACATAGAAGAAGGTTTTATATTTAATTTTGGATTATTGATTCATGACTGTACGCTGCATAAACAAACACATACAGATCACTTCATCTATTAGAGGAATTTGTGACAAATGTGAAAAACTATATGCAGACCTTGAAGTGAAACTACACAGAGAACAAACAACACAGATTTGACACTTGAATTTAATCACTGATATTGTGCAGAAACCTTCGTACATCAATCAAGTCTTCTTTTCTCAATAGCTCCTGATTTGTGACAGATATGGATCAGCATCTTAAAACCCTCAATTGGGAGTCGAGAGGAAGGCTGTTTCTCAGGAGATGAGTTTACGAAGCTCAGTTGTGTACAGGTGAAGTAGGCTGGACAAAAGAGATCTTAGTTTGTGGTATTTGGACCCATGAAACGGGCCTTCTCATTACAGTTGCTATAGTTGGATAAAGGTGTTATCCAGACGTGACTAACATCAGACATTAGTCAAAGACCTTCAGAGCGGCCTTGCACACCGCGTCCACCGTCTGCACCGCGAATCGCTGCGAGTCTTAAAGAAAAACGGAGACGCTGCGTCTTCAGCAAAGGACAGAAGGATTTCAGCAGCGCTCTGTGCAGCTGATTGTACGATTCTTCTTTTGTTGGGGATGTTTCAGAAGCTGTACTTTGTGCAGCTGTTTGGCGTCCTCTTTTAAACTATTTCCTGTTTGGGTTTTCCTCTTCTTCCATCAGACCCCAGCGGCTCTGTGCTTTACTGTGACACTGGAGAAATAAGCCAGCCAGAGTAAATAAGAGTCATAATTCATTAATCTGGGAAAGTGAACGCCTCAGCAACTCTGAAACACAGATAATTAACCTGATAACAAATTAGTGCCTCCTTGCATATTTTATGTCCTGAGAATGGAGTAATGAAGTGCATTATTATGATTCAATTTTTTTTTTCCCTGCCTATTAGGGTCCTCTAACATATTTGCATTTTTCATGCGCTGCTAAGATATTCATCTCTCGAACAGTGAAATTACTGGCTGGGATAGAAAGCGAATCAGCTGCAGAATGACACCCTGCGCCTTCAGTGACTTATAGGATTGAATCCAGCTCGCAGCTTAAGCTCAGCCACTTTAGAAAACAGATAACTTTACAGAGGTGAGCGCTGTACTTTTTGGATTTCGGTCTCCTGAGAGCAGCTGGCAGTATGACATCAAAGCGGCATCCCGTTTGTTGTTAGCGGCTAATTACATCAAACAGCCGTGCAGCTCAGGGCTTTCGAATCTGTATCCATTCCTGCCGTCTCCATATTTAGCAACTTCTTTGAGTTTCTGAATTCATGATGAGACACTCGACACAATGCAGGAGACCATCTCAGCCTCATAGACATCAAGGACACGCCTGACAGCAGAGCAGCACACCAAAGGATGCCAAGTGACAGACGTGCAGTTGGAGGGGAGAAGGCAGTGACAGCGACAGCCTTGTTTTGGGATACAGAGCCACCGGTTTGTCGTGTGCTGACAGATACATGTGCTGTCTAATGAGTGTGATTGTGCGTTTCTTAAAGGCTGACCTTGTGCCGTGTGTTTTGCTTTCATCCAGTTGTGCGAGCACGGCTTTCATACGTCATTTAACTAAAAAAGCTGCTGAGCCACATCTGGATGGAAAGTGATGAAATTCTACATAAATGCTGCCCTCAAGAGAAATCATCTTTATTTTACTTCATACCTGGAAAACATGCTCAGCTATGCTAGTAGGTATTAGCATGCTAACAGGCTAAACTAAGACGACATGGTGAACATTAAATCTGCTCAACAGCAGCATGTTAGGATTGTCATTGTTAGCATGTTAGCATCTATCTCCACTGCGTGTAACTGCAGCCAGAGCAGCTACAGGGTTCCAGCATGCGACCACTTTGGTTGCACACGTGGCAAAACGAAGCAGTGAGGAGTCGGACTGGATAATAGATTTACCACTTCTGATAATCTAGACCAGGGGTCGGCAACATGAAACACTCAAAGAGCCATTTGGACCCATTTCCCACCGAAAAGAAAACAGCGGGAGCCACAAAACCCTTCTGACATCTAAAATGAAGATAACACACGTAGCATATACGGTT